CTTCTTCTCCTTTTTTTTCCTCAATTATAATTGTTATTGATCTTACTTTTATTCAGCGCCAACATTTGTATTTGATTTACCGTACGTGACAGTAAGCAGAGGAAGAGCCAGTCTTGGAAAAAATGGAGCCTCATATAAATAATTAGCACGGACAATAAAATATGATACATTTGGAGCAGACGCTCATTTCCATTTTTCCGAAAAAATAAAAAAATAAAAATAAAGTACTTCTGTGAAAGTAAAATAGTAAGTGTTTGCCCAATTTGTTCGTGACCACAATTTGTCAAGACAAATCCTACGACTGAGATACTTCCTTTCAAAACAGTGTTTAAGGAACCGCTGAGATATGAAAATCAGCCCTTATTTTCAAATTAAAGGGCAGACACGATTATAGTCCGCATCACAGAAATTCCTGATCAATTTTAAGCTTTCAAGTTATTTTATATCATCGCAACCGCAGAAGTTTAATGCTTCAGTTGTTTAAACGACTTCAGGCCTCGCATAATGATTGAACATTGTGTGCACTGGAGCGGCTCCACATTTTTATATCGTGGAATATCTGCAGTAGCAGACTTTCGCCGGTTTCCCTGGGTGAATGTAACAGTAGGAAAGAGGATGGCTGTTAACTCTGTGTACTGACATCAGCCACTGACCAATGCTGTCAAGAAGACATCAAAACATGCACTTAGGCAAACTGCTTACTCCCTTTTCCCACATCCCATCCCAGAGCCCTTTATGTTGTCCACACAATGGAAGTCCAAACACGCAAGAATGATTTTTCCATGCAAATGTGAAATCCATACAGGAAAAAGAAAAATATGCAGTGGGAGATTCACCATTTGCCCAAAGAAAACAACACTCTGTAAAGTGCCTGTGCCGCCAGCCCGACAACCGCCTGCCTTTCAATTACGCTGCCAGCAGTACATCAACTTGACAAATACTGAAGGATGTGACCTCTTGATCTGAGCTGAACCCAGCCTTACCTCAAAATTATGGTCCGTGAGAGATGACGACCGAAACAGTAATCCATAAAAAGAAATTTATTTATTACCATCTTATTCAGTAGCTCTGAGCCAGGCAGTGAATAATAGTAAATGTTTTAACCTTTTATTACTTCACTTAAAATCCCATGAAAACTCCACTTAACTGAATAAGATGTCGGGAAGGCCGTGTGTAATTATATCCAATCACAGGGCGGGTCAGTGTTTAGATTATCTCCACTTATATCAGTGCGTAGATAATAAGGACTTGGGTGGCATTTAACTACTGCATCCTATGAAATACTTCAAATACACCTGATTCTTGTGATATCCAGCTGCCTCACAACGATGCTGCAGTTGTTTTTTTTTTATTATTATTATTTGATGTGGTTTATGTAAGTTTGTTTTTTTCTGGTAACCTTTGAGGTAAACACTTGACAGCAGATAGCATCAGTAGTCCCAGTGGACAGGATTAGGATTAGGGGACAGGCTGTGGGAAAGTATATACCAGTGGCCCTAAAATGACGATCACATTTGAGATGGGACTCTTAATTGTAGCCGTCTAAACACCTCCTCCCAGTCTTAGAGACAGTGATGTCTGAAGCAGGCCAGTGCTGTTAGCTATCTTCTGCTGACGCTGCAGTCCCCTGAGCTCCACAAGTTAAAAAGCTGCTACGCTGACGAGCCAGATGTGTCGCAATGCGTTCCTTGGCCCCGTCAGCAACTACGCACATTTCTGAGGCCACCAGAAGATGCAGACAAGATAAATGTTGGATGAGTCAGAATGAAAAGAAAAATCAGAACACTGACTTGGTTAGATAAAAATAAAAAGCTGTTTTCTATTAGCAAATCTTCAAAACTACAGAACAAGCAGTTCTTATATTTTTACTCTTCACAACTGTGATGGACATGTTATCTAACCACAGAGCTTTTCTTTAAAAGTTACACACTGAAGGATTTAGCCATCATTGAGTGATAGAGAGACGAGGGAACAAACTCCTACGGAAGAGAGGTTCCGTGTGGGTGAATTCCCGATGAGCCCTCCCAGCTGACACCCTCTGACCTACGACACTCTAACAGTGCCCACCTACGCTTCTCATAGATCAAACCCTACTTCAGGTGAGAGCAGCAGAGAGTAGTACTGTGTAGTAGTACTGTGTTTTCTCCCACCCTCCCTTCCACACACGTTGACAAGCACCAACACACAAACCCATTGACAGCAGATACATTCCTCCAATCAGACCAGGGTTGAAAACATAGTTTTTGTTCTGCTGAACAGACATGACGTCAGTCTACATTTGAATACGAGGCCAGGGAAGCCAGATCCAATCTTATGTGGTAACTGGAGAGGCATCCAGGATGCATTCTCATGCCAGGTGTGATTGGATCACTCAGGGTGAATGTTAATGCAGGTCTGACCGGGTCACAAATGTCATCAGTTTTTAGGTCTTGGCTTCAGTGTTCACAGCTCCTTCCTGTACATGTTATAGCAACACTATTGACCAATAGCAAAACAGCAGGTCTTCGACTTGATAAGGCCAAAAACATAAACAGTAATTTATGGATATAAGGCAGTGAATAGATCACACACTTTCGTTAATTTTTGGTTCAGAATGCCAGCTAAAAAAACTAATATTTACAATAAAAAAGAAATGCATCTTGGATTAATTTTATTTATCATGAGATTCATTTTCAACAACAAATCTGCTGTTTTTAGTTCAAACTATGACTTAAAATAAATGCAATTCCAGGTTTTTTGTTTTTGTTGACTTTTTTAATCATTGATTGAGAGGTAATCAATGTAAAATCTAAAGAAAATGTAACGTTTTCTCTGCTTTTAGGATGAAAATAACGCATTTAATGTTGTTTGCTGTGTCCTTAAATATCAGATCAATTTGAGTTTTGAAACAGTTTTCCAAAAATACATCTGTATATTTCTGTATGTGATTACGACTTGGACTGACATGCTATCAGACAATGTCTTACATTTTACAACTGTAAATTCCAGTCTGGGACATCGTGCACAGAGCAAAAAAAAATAAAAAATGATGACAGTATCAGACATGTTTGATGTCTGATATAATGGCAAGAAAAGTGGCAGTGGAAAAGTTTCAACGACCACGAAGACCCGCTGAATGCTCTGCGTAGGACGTTACAGCTTTTGGCAAGATCAATAAACAGAACTGAGTGTACACAGAGAGGAGGCAAAAAAACAAAAAAAAAAAACCACCGGCTCACACATCAGGCAAATCCATGGCACACTTCTCCTGACTAAAGAATATTAAAAAGAAATGATGTGTATTTACGTTGTCTCCTACGTGGATACAGAAGAATCAAATTAAAGGTAAGACATGAAGGATTCAATAATTCCCATAAATCTGAGACTATTTTTACTGGAACCAGGAGAATATTTTACTGGAAGACGAGGGATACAAAATCTGGCAGTTGTCATTGTAACATTTCTGATTCTTCATGCAGCACACAGGCTGCGCCGCACATTTATATAACATACATGTCCCAGGACATGCCGCACAGTGGACGTCAAATGAAGCAGAAGAATTTAAGGGAGAAAAACAAGTCAATTTTTCTACCAATGAAATGGAGAGCTTCAGTTACGTGGCCTCAGACTTGGCACAAAGACGGAAGACAGTCACGAAGGCGAATGTGGGCAATAAACAACAAGTCACGCAAATGTACACTTCACATGCAACATAGTTGGTGATTCACTGAACCGTCTGGCTGGAATTTTATTCCCCTTGGCCTCGGTTCCATATGGCATCATTTCTTTTTGCCGCAGACAAACACAAGTGGGGCTGAATGCAGGTTATCGATATAATACAAATTACTCTATGCAGGGAGAATCCAAGTAAACCACTCTCACTGCCAACTTCATTTGAGACAATGGAAACCTTTTGGTCTCCCCTCCCTTATGAGCAGACAAAACACTGCTCCCTCCTAACGTCATCTCCGTTCCTCTATTAAAACAATATACGAAAGACTCTGTGTAAAAGCCACTGATGACCGGAGGAATTAATTTTCAGCCACAGCCTCAGTCTCAGAGGGTTAGTGATTGTCTGCTATGTTAAAGGCCCCCAGCCACCTCCAGGGCTGCCAGAACACAAATGTTAACATTAGGGTCCACATGCCTCATCCTAATTGAGGTTCCTTTCATCAAACAATTACGTGTTGGATTCTGCCAACCAGCTGGGAAGGAAAACAGCTCCGCAGAGATGACACCATCACACACACACACACACACACAGTAGACCTAATCAAGAAACAGCAACAGAAGAACCGATGAAACTGAATGATTACAACTGACGGCCACATGGAGGAGGATTCCCTGGCAGAACTGAGACTGGGGTTCTCACCACAGTCCAACATCATGCAGGCAAATTGAAGCAAATTGTTCACTCTAAGTTAACCATAGGTGTGAATGTTAGTGTGAATGGCTATTTTGTTTCTGTACGTAGCTCTGAATGTAGGGCGCGCAGGGTGTTAACCATCCTACCTTTACGTGACGACTGAAGACTGGGATTCGCTGCGGCCCCCACCACTTCTCCTTCCTCCGACCCTGAAAAAGAAATAAACGAAGGTTTTTATTGTTATTTTTATTGCCAATTTATTACATCTCCCACTGCTCCCACTCTCACGAAGCCCAAGCTTCCACTCTAACCATTTTGTGCGTGTCTGTGTTTAATAAACAAATCTCTGGGGGCGGTTGAAAAAGAATATCAATTATTTGCCCTTTTTTCCCCAATTAAATAATAAATTAAATAAACAGCCTTAACCATGGGGGTTTGTTTATTATGCCTCTAATCTTCTCTAGTATTGCTTGTTGCGCTACTGAGAGGAGTTTACTTGAAGCTTGAAGTTTTATTTCACTCATGTTCTGCCTCTTTGTAGAGGGCAGTGCTGCCATCTCTTAATATATAATTTTGTTTTACATATATTCCATATTTTCCAACTTCTTGAAATTGTAAGCATACATACTGCAAGAGGAAACAAGACTGAAGTCGAAGAGACTAATTAAGACAACAAGGACTAGTCAGTTAGAGCAGACAGGAGGATGCTGCAGTTGTCAAAGGATGCAGAATGTTTGGTTACAGGAAAGAAACGCCACCGTCCAAAACGGCTCCCGCTCTCCGGGCGACCTCTGAGAAGATAAAGAAACAAATGATGGATGGATGCCCACTCTATCTACGAACCCCGGTGCAGAACATCGCAGTAGATCTGCAGCAGTCGAGCTCCCTGCTGGAGCAACAGCTGTGTAGAAGACAGTAGATCAGCAACACAACTATCATGACCTGCGCACACATCCAAGTTGGCTCAGCTGCGAACAGTTAAATATGTGTGATTAAATCACACTTAAACGGAATCTGATTGTTATGCATTGAAAACAGGGAAGAATGTTTTTTTCAGCCCTGCTCGAGACCAAAACATCTGCAGGCACTGATGTGGTGTTGGTGACGGACAGACACAATTATATTTCATGCCAAACTGAAGGTTTACTCCAAGGCTCTGAAGTAGGCCATATTTTTTATGTCCTACGATTGGCCAAATATTTCGCCTTGTAATTCTCTTTACTCAGTTCAGCTGAGCCTATAAACATTTTTGAGCTTGCGGCTAATATGAAGTCTGCCTTAGCCTCTTCATAACTGGGACTGACTCGAGTACTTTCAACGCTGAGCGAAATCCAAACGTGCCAAAGAGTAAGTACTTACAAGTGTAAGTGTTTTTACTTTCAAACCCATCAAAATCCACTAACATTTTTGAGTTACAGGTTTGTTGATTTACAGGATTTAGGGTTATAGTAACATCTTCTGATGTTACAGATCTGAACGTATTAGCCATTGAAAATATTCTGACCACGTACCACAATAGCTTGAAAGATTCATGTTGTGTTTGTGATGGACTTAGCAGGCTCTGGCCTCCGGGTTCAAAGAAGCGTGCTGAAACAAAGGAAGACAGACATCGACCTGACCTGGCTCTGCGGTGTGAAATCACTCCGAGGTCACATGTGTTTTTGTTCATCCTCTTCACCTTGAGGTTTCAGAAGATGGAGCGGATAGCACGCAACGGTGGACCAGACCTACTGAGGGCCACCTTGCTGGTCCAGATGCAGTCTTTCATCTCCTTTTAGAAGCCCAGTTGTGGAAATGATTTCTGCACTGACAGAAAGCCTGTGCATGATCACAGCGCACTGTTGCTCCAGGACAAAGAAGGCATGCAGTTTATTATTCTGAATCTGGAGAATATTTCATGGAAATATTCTCTGCCTGTCATGGGTGACAGCCTTTTGCGCTGTTATTGACAACTTCTCCACAAAAAGCCAAGCGACTCCTCCAGCTTGTCATTTTAATGATCTGCCTGTGTGTGTGTGTGCATATTGCAAAATAATAATTGTCCAATTTATCACTCTGGCAAAAAAAATCTCTTGGATATATAAAACTGAGAGGAGCAGCAGCTGACACCAGACCGTCCACCGCCCCACGGAGACGGACGGAGTGAACAAAATCTCCTCAAGTTTTTCTGTGATAAGGGAATCTGCGTGAGGCTGTCCAGACCGGCTCTGCTGTCCCTGCACAGATAAATGGCTTCCTCTCTTGAAAGGTCCCACTCCTCATTTGGATAAGCAGCGTAATCAACAAAACACTTGAAACATATTCCCTCATTAATGATCGCCGAAGCTTTGAAGTGAGGCGCTCTTGTTTGCACCCAAGTCAGTTTGGATGTAGTCCATACTCATATGAACCTTTGGAGAGTTGAAGCCTAATTGCCTCCTAAGAAAGGACCGGGGTAGAGGGGGTCTGCAGGAAACGTTGGGGTTTTGTTTGCTCTGATTATGACACAATAACACCAAAAGGAAAATTCTAAACGAAAATGTTCAGAAACGCTTTGGAAGAACTGCTTAGCGAAGAAAACTCACAGCTGCACATGAACATCATCAACATAACAGGCTTCAGACAACCAGACAGACTGTAGTATAAAGTGAAAGCAGAACTTGACCACCACAAAACAGATGGCAGAGGAATGTCCCTAAATAATCAAAAGATGTTCAGATGCACGATGGAGAAGTAGTTAGCACAATTTTCTCTCAGCGAGACGTTTGTTCTCCTGCTGAGACTTCTCTGTTCTCTGTTCTGTCTGCTTGTTCTCCCTGTGGGAGGGTGTCCTACAGGTAAACTATCGTCTTGTCGCTGTCCAAATATATGCTGAGTGTGGAAAGAGAGACTACGGAATTTAAAATGTGTAAATGTTAGTGTTATTGATGGCAGTCTATATTAGTGGCCTTGTGATGGACTGGTTTCCAGTCTGTTCTCTGCTCTCAATCTATTGACAGCAGAGGTCTAAAACTCCAACTGGTCCACAACTAGATGTAAATATTGATTTAATTTTGCTCTGGTGGATTTTTTTATAATTTATTTTAAACACTTTTTTTTTTAATGTGGAAATGCCATACTTAAGACTGGGATAAGACAGAGAACCATGACGTTCTTGCTATAAAGCAGTCATGGAAACCTTTTTTTCTTTACTGTGTGACCTGGTAAAATTTCATATTTTTCAAAATTGGATTGACATGTGACCTTTCATATTTTTCAAAATTGGATTGACATATTTGATTTGGTCACCATTAGTGGTGTGTTTTAAAGAACTTCTGACATAACAGAGAATCCAAATATTTGATTTTGTGGTGATCAGGTTTTTCCATTGTTAGTAATCATTAGCTGGTGTCAAATTAGAAGCTGACAACAGACGGTGCCTTCGCTGTTTTCCATTACACAGTTATGCAGACAAAACGAAATGCAATACAACATATGGTTGTAGTTAAACATATGCTGCTCTCCATTATCTTTCAAAACAATACATTATCTCTCCATCCAGTTGTAAACATGCTTTAACTTTGGGGTGACACACATTTTCCATTATTGTTTTAATTCCATTGTTTTAAACAGTAATCATTTGGAGCAGGTGTTAATGGCTCACTCTGACAGTTCTTTGGAATAACATGTTATGGATCTATCGGTTCCCGCTGAATGTTGTTTTTCATCTTTGAGCAGGTCCGCCTGCAGAGTTTTGGTAGAGGCTTATTAGTGAGACAATGTTTATCTGGGCTGCTGAGGTGGTGACACATCGTGTACTCACCCAACATTTTAATGAATGAGAGAAGAAAAACATCAAGACATGTGCAACGTTCTTTTTGTCCAAACCTTCAGCTGGTGTTTTGTCCAGTGTGTCCATTTGGACCCCACGTGGATTTATTTAGACTGCCTGGGTACAAAGTGGCCCATGCGGGACATATGTTTAGAACTTGGACTTTATGTATATAAGTAATTTGCATACCTACTGTACAGACAGGGCCTTCATTTTATATTGATATTGAGCCTGTTTCACATACAAATACATCAGAAATGCAAATATTGTTGAAATGTGTATGTTTCAAACTTTTCATTTATCCCTGAAAATAATTTAAAAAAATTCAGACATTTGTGTTTTCCATCATTCATTGTTTAAAATATTGGAAGAGATTAAAATATATTGCTACAGTTTAGATCACACATGTCAAACTCAGGCCCAGGGCCCAAATCTGGCCCACAGTGCAACTATATTTGGTCACAAGATCATATCAAATATGAACTTCTTTCCTCCAGATTTTTGTCCGCATGAAACTGTGTAGATAAACGTGACTGGAATGGTTTAAAAGATTCCAAATGATAATCAGATATCGCATCCTGTGAAACTCAAATGTTAGGATTGTGATTGTTGTCTGTAGTGATTGGAGGAGTGAGATAAATATTTAAACAACACGTGTGTAATTTGGAGTATTCAGTTGGTTGGGTTTTGCTGCTCTCCATGCTGACAGAAGCATTGTAATCTGTGGGAACGTATTAATTCTTTGCAGGTGTTCCAATTTGTATTCCACAGGAATGCTCTTTGGATACATATGCTTTCCTCATTCTACATTTCGTAGCTGAAATAATAGTGAATGTTTCAATTATTATTCAGTTTTTTTACTTTGGCAGCAGCTGCTTTTCCAGATGAATGTCCGTTTATTGATTTGACTTGTTTAAATATCCAAACTTCATTGTTCTGCAGTTTTATTTTATTTAATTTAATTTACCACCAAAGAGTCAGAAGTAAATTAGCATAAAAATTAACTGCGGAGCTGAGATAAAGGAAATTAACATTTGTGCATGAACTTGACAACGTGCTCACTCAGTTACATTGCATCATATGATTTGACGTGTAACATGGAGCAATGAGAAGCAAAAGTACAATATATGTGTTGTGACAACCGCTGAAGAGCCCCCCCCCCCCCCCGCCCTCCCCCCCCACCCCCCCCCCCCGCCTCGAC